AGCCCTGGACATGCCATCGGTGATCTGATCGGGGCCGCCGCGGCGTCCTCGCTTGGCGGCGGCGAGCTGGCTGGTCAGCTGTTGCTTGGGCATTGTGTTCTGGATATTCGGTTCTGGCCCCTCGTGGCGGGTCCTCTTGATGTAGTCAGCTGCTACCCCGTCTGAATCCGTGGCTGTGGCCTGCTCAATTTTGCCGTGGAAGGCCAGGGCGTGGTCGGCGATCTCGATCTTTGTCGTGAGGGGCTTCCCGTCGTCGTTGGTGCGGGTGATGGGCGTCGGCGGCTTCTTGGGCTTCCGTCCTCCGAAGGCCAGGGGTCGCTTGGCATGCAGGGCCTCCTCTCGAGGGGCGTGGTCGTCGATCGCTGTGCCGATCTCGTCGGCGGTCCTCTCGGGGAAGTCGTCGCGATCTCTCGTGGTCCACTTCTGGAGGATAGGCTTAGGCGCCCTGAGGAATTGAACGGGGGCGTCGAAGTAGTGCTGGGTGCTATCCACGGCGTTGGCTGCATCGGTTTTCTCGGCACTGGTCGCTAGGCTGGGGGTGCTGAGTATGAGGGAGGCCACCATAAGTTTCGCATAGTCGCTGAGGTCGGCCAGGGCGCTCACCTCGGCGGGGTCGGGTAGCAGAGCTTCCTTCGCAATGAGCTTAGCCGTGTAGTGTAGCCTCCTTGCGCCAAAGAGACGGACAATCCCGCTTGTCTAGGTGATCCGCGTCGTCTTGAGTAGCGAGCGGCGAACCCGCAGAAGGGCGAAGGAGCGCTTGGTGATGTAGGGCTTGTGCGGGGCGCGGCCGTGGGAGCGGAAGCACTCGTGCGCGGCCTCCGTGATCTTCCCGGCGACTGTGGCGAGGTGCTCGTTGAGGTTGGTGCCCCACGACGGATGTTGGACATCGTTCGGTTGTTGGCTGGACTTCTTGCGGCATCCTTCGTCGGCCAGCTTGCTCTCGTCTAGCTTCGGGGCGCCTTTGGTGACGGACGAGACGATCTGGTAGGCGCGCTGCAGCTTGACGGGGTAGCGGTCGTCTTTGGTATCTGGGCCCTGGCCGCTGTCGATGCCGTAGAGCACGAAACACTCTTCGACTGAGGTGATGTAGCTCCTGGGGGTGATGACGTAATCAATGCGGTGTGGGTCCTTGCCCGGGTGCCAGGTGCAGTGCTCTGGTCCGTGGTTGACGAAGGCGTTGGCGGCCGCTAGGTGGTTGGGCAAAAGAAGCTCATGGAGGCGGCGTCCATTAGGGTCTTCGTTTCGCTTGAAGCCCTTATCACCGATGGCCGTGCTGGTGACGTTGCCTGTCCTGGCGCTTGCGTCGAAGAAGATGATGCTCACTTGGTGCTTTTCGGTGGTCTCCGTGAGCTTCTTCCCGTCGCGATTCCTCTCTGTCTCGAGGGCCTTCGAGCGCGGGGCGCGGGCGACGGCAAGCACGCGGTTGAAGCCAGGGGCGGCAACGCGGACGATGCGGAGCCTGGGGTCTTTCTCAATGACTGTGAACTGGTCGGGTTTGAAGTAGAGCCCCCTCTTGCCGCTCTTGCCGTAGGGCTTGCTGAGCAGAGCGTGCAGCTCGCAGCCGTAGTTGAACCCTTTATGGCCGCTGGAGATGATATGGTAGCTGTTGGCGTTGGCGCATCTGGCATCGTCGTCATGTCCTGTGTCGCGCACGCCCCATGGCGTCCTGGCCCCTTGAATTCCAATGATGTGGAGGTCCTCATCGTACAGACAGGCCATTGTGGACTTAAGCTTTTTGATATGATATGTATATACTTCTGCGCTTCGATCCTTCCTTGGGCTCTCTGCCTGACTGGCTGTTGAAGGCCGCGATGTTGATTTCAACTTGAATCTTCTCGTCACTGGACTCGGTGGGGTTGTGGAAGTGTCGGGCCTCGGCGGTCGTCTTGACCCTGTTGGCTATGAGGCTGCCGTGGCCGAATTCGGGGTCGGCCTCCCGAGTGTTGGGGTCTGCGCCGAGCAGGAACTCCCAGTCCCGCTGGAATGCGCCGTCCATGATGCTTGCCCACTCTGGCTGAGGAACCCTAACTTCTCGAAGGCGTCCGTGGTTGGCGGCGGCGTCAGCAACCTCGTTCCACGGGTTGTGGTCGTGGGCATGGACGTGCTGCAGGTCGATCTTATGGCTGACCATGTCGTAGAGGATGCAGAGAGTCCTGACGGGTTTGGGGTCATGCGCGGTGAAGGCGGGCCTCGGGGCGAGCTGCAGGGCGCCGAGCGAGTCTGTGGATATCGAGGTGACGCGGTGGGGATTGTAGTGTATCACCCAGGCGGAGGCCCAGATTAGGGCGGTGATCTCGACGCTCGTGGAGGTCGTCTCGTGGTCGCTGTTGTCCTTGAGGGCGACGTCGGTGCCGCTCTTGTGCTTCCCGACGATGGCTCCCTGGAAGCTGAAGCCGTGGCTGTCGTCACCAACGATCACCACGGACCAGGCGTCGTCGCTCGGCTGCTTCGGGTTTTTGGAGCCGTCTTTGAAGAGATGGATTGTTGCTCCTTCCTGGAGTGGTCGCCGTGGGTAGTGACGGAGCATGTAGTCGGCTGTCTCGTTGAGGTTCTCGTCGCGTAAGTCAAAGGTGAGGTCGGGAGGTGGGGACTGTTGCATCGTCTGTCGGATGGTAGGTCGCTCGTCGAAGTGCTCTCTGCGCTGCTCTAGCGGTGGGGGTGGCGTGGCGGGTGTTGTTGTTGGCTGGTCGGGTGGTACTGGGGGCTTGACGTTGGTAGCTCTGAAAGGTTGAATGGCCTTCCCTCTCGCTCGTGGTGGACGCTGGCCCGCGGTGTGAGGCCGTGCTTGGGCATCAGGCAGGTGCGTCGATTTTGGGGGGAGTGGGATGGCAGAGGTGCGAGAGCGGAAGGGTTGCATGGCGCATCCCTTGTTGGTATGCATGGCGTCAAGGTAGGTAGCTTCGATGTCGTGGGCCCCTCGTGGATCTATGCAGTTGGCAGCCGCAGGAGCGGGCGGTGCTGCGTCGACTCCTCTGGGCGTCTGCGCCGCGTGTTGGCAGCGCGTCCAGGGCATCTGCAGTGGCGCCGCTGTTGGTCCCGTGGCGCCGGCAATCTTGGCTTCTGGTGGGCCGTCTGAGGTCCTGGGGGGCTCTCTTGGGGGAAAATATGGCGATGCTGGAAGGCCAGCCTCGGGGAGTCTCCGAGGTCCAGCTGACGGGGGCCTGTGGAGTAAGTCTTGGTGCTGCTCCTCAGGTTGCTGCAGTCCTTGCTGTTGCGGCTGCTGCAGTCCTTGCTGCTGCTGTCGTAGGTGGGCCTCCTGGTGGGGCGCTTCGGCAGGTCCTTCTGGAGAAAACAAGATTCGGCGCCTTGGAGCCAAAGTGGCTGGTCGCCTGGTTCGCCCTCTGCTGGGCTCGTCTCTGGGGAGCGGGTCGGTCGGGTCGATGGGGGCTTGCCCCGTCTGGCCTCGCTGGCCGCCCTGGTGGGATTGTTGGCGCACTGCAGTGGTCGGCCGAGGGGATGGTCCTCGCCCGGCGGTTGGTGCAGTCGTGGTCGTTGGTGCCTGCGAGCTGCCAGGGTCGCGATGCTGATCCCAAGGCGCCGCGGCTGATCCCGCGCCGCCGCGCCGCGGCTGGTAGTGGTGAAGCTAATCTTTTTATTGGTTTTGATTTTTTGTGTCGCTGACGCTGGTAGCGGCGTGCTAGGTTGAGCTGCCGCTGGCGCCACGCGGTGTGCTAACCCGCAAGCTAACACCGCTGAGGCGGTCGGCGGCCCCCCGAGTGGGGCGCGCGGCTGTAAAGGCGCCTGGGCTTGTCGCTGAGTGGCTGGCACCGCACGGGTCGCACAGCACGTCTGCTGGGGCTCAGTGGTTGCTCCGTAGAACAGGTAGTTACGTATAGCCACTGAGCGGGCTAGGTACTCGATCTTCTGGCGACGTGGTGGCGGGGCTCCCCCGCTGGGCCAGTCGCCCCCCAGCGGGGGGAGTCCTGCTCAGTTTTGTGTCGTGTCTGAGCTTGAACCCGAGCTGCCCTCCTGACTCTCGGGGTGGAAGCGCCTACGGTCCATTGGGTTGTCGAATCTGCCGCCGTCGTCCAGGATGCGGGCCTGGCGCGCAGGCCTGCTGTGGGCGCTTGCCCTGCGGAGGGCCGATGGCGGTGCAGATCTGGCTCGGTCGGGAGTGGCACTGTGGAAGCGCGCTGGAAGTGGCTTCGGGGAAAAGGGTTGGGTGGGTGCGAAGGGGGATCCAACTTCGAGCTTGATAGGGGAGCGTGGGGGGGGAGTCTGGGTTCCCCAGTAGGGTGGTCTCTGCGTGAGTCGGTCGGAAGAGTCGCGGGGAGACGGGATCATCGGGGAGCGGCACGGACTGCGCCCTCGGCGGGGGGGGGGGGGGGGAGGGGGGAGGGGGGCGGCCATGGGGGTCGGGGCGGGGGGGGGGGGGGGGGAAGGGGGGGGGGCAGGGCGGGGCCTGCTCCCCAGGGAGCACTTGGTGTCGGTTGCGCGCCAGGGGGGGGGGGGGGGGGGGGGGGGGGGGCGGGGGGGGGGGGGGGGGGGGCGGCGATGCTTGGACTGTCGGCGTGTGTGTCGGGTAACCGAGGTCGCGGTCGTTGGGGGCGTCGAAGCTCAGGTCTTCTGCGCGTCGTGTGGGAAGTGGAGTGGATGTCTCGGCCAAGAAGCCTTCGTGCGTCTTAGGGGGCTTCGTGGGCGCCCCGTCTCCCGCCACTGGCGTCGGAGCAACTTCCGTGGGGGATGCGAGGTCGATGAAGGGGCCGAGTGGTTGCGATGGTGGCGCCGCTAGTGGTGGGAGTGGTCCTCTGAGCTGATGCTTGCGGCTGCGGGTTGTTGTGCAGGTTGGCGACCTGGTCGAGCTTCTGCGTCGTTGGGTACGCACCGTTGTAGCCGAGATCCACGGAGCGGTCTTCGATGTTCTCGCTCCCGCAGTGCCTGCACCTGATGATCTCCGTCTTGCAGCTGGTGTAGTTGCCGCAGGCCTGGCAGAGGCTGCAGTAGAAGGGCGGCGTTAAACCATTCGAAGATCCTGATGATGAGGGAGCGCCACGAAGCACTGCCATCTTCGGGGTTGCCATCTGGTCGAGTTCGGAGTAGTACGATTCACGGGTCACGTCGTAGTCGAACTCGTGCGACGAGGCGATGGCGTGGAGAGCGGAGCGGATGTTGTCCCGCTGGTGGGCCTCCTCATCGTCGGCTTGGGCTTGCATCTTCTGCTTCTCGTTTTCCGTGATGAGTGCGTTGGCAACGCTGTCGCGCATGTATGTGTCGATCTTGGGCGCGATGTTGTCGAGCTGCTCCCGCAGGGTCTTCCCGAGAAGTGACTGGTGTATTCGATGCTCTTCCTGTTGTCGGGCCAGCTGTTCACGGTGATGCTATTCCTGTGATTGTCTCTGTGCCAGTGCGGCTTGTAGCTCGGTGTTGGCGAACTGCTGCTGCTGGTGCATCTCCGCCTCGTGCTGGCCGTATCTCTCCAGAAACTGCTCGCGTTGGTGTTGGTCGCACTCGGTCTTGTGCTGCAGCTGTTGCTGGAGAGCCTGGGCCTCGTTGAAGAAGAGCTGGTGCTGTAGGGTAACCCGTTGGTGCTCTAGTTCCTTGGCTTCGAGCTGGTCGCACTTGTTCTGGCTATGGCGCTGCGCCTCGAGCTGGGGCTCCGCCTGCTGGTAGACCACCTCGCGCTCCCTCTGGACCGCGGAGTGCTCGTCCAAGAGCTTCGTGGCGGCGATGGCCGTCTGCTTCTGAATCGCATGCTCTTGGTGGATCTCCTCTCGCTTTAGGTCCGCGTGGGCCTCCGCGATCTGCTCGGCGATGTCGGTTTTTCCGTTGCGTCTCCTGGGCCCGCCACGGCTTGCGCGGCCTGCTCCTCGAGGCGGAGGTCCTGGTTCATCTGCTCTATCCTCTGGCCCTCGCGCTGCAGGCGCTCGCACTCACGATGAGTTGTTCACGCTGTGCTTGCTGGCGGGCTGCTTCCTCGGAGGTTGATGCGGTGCAGGTCTGGGTGGCCGTTTCCGCTGTGCGCTTCTGCTCGTAGGTGAGCTTCTGACGCTCGAGGTCGTATCTCATCGCGCGCTCGTGGTTCTCCATCCTCTGCGCTTCCTGCTCCATCTTCTCGGCGTAGATCTGATGGACGGGCTCATCCCGCTGCTGGAACGCGCGCTCTTGCTGTGCTTCTTGGCGGCGGAGTACCTCGTTGTTCCTTGCTGTTGCTTGCTCCGTGGCGTTCAGAGCCGTCTTGGAGAGCGCTTGCTCGCGGCGCACGAGCCTGTCTCGGCTTTGCATCCTCATCTCAGCGAAGCACTGGCGCATGGCTTCCACCTCCTCCTCGTACTCTTCTGTCTTCTTGCGGAGCTTGGCATTGGCGATTTTGACGTGGCTCCTCCCTTCTCGGCACGCTTCCTCGTCCTTCTTCCTGAGCTGCTCTGCGATGCTGCTTGATGGCGGGGCCAGCCTGCTCGAGCGCGGGGATGGGGGCTCTCGACTGGTGCGACGGCGAAATGGGGCGTTGGCTCTTTTATTGTTGTACTGCTTTTTGTCGTCCTCGGAGTCAGCTTCACAATCAGTGTCGGCTTCGGCGGCAATCTCGAGCTTGACGTCCGTGATGAGGCGCTTCAAGTCGGCGATGCGCTGGGTGTTGGCGTCGGCCTTGGTCTGCAGAGCTTCCTTTTTCTCGTGGATGTATTTCTGCTCTTTTCCGGCGCCTCGATCTGAGACCGATATTGTTGTAGCCGGACGTGTGGATCCGCGGCCATCGCGAGCATGCACTTGATCACCGAGGCCTCCGTTAACAGTTTGCTGGCATCAGCCTTGGCGGACTGCGCGCCGTTGATCTGATCGGCAACTCGGCCAAGCCTCTGCTGGAGGTTCCTCGTCCACAGTTTCCTCATGTCAGGGTCCTCTGGCGGGAGGCCGAAGGACTCGCGGTCGCGAGATATGGAAAACGGAAGCTCGAGCACGGCGTCGGCGATGGCCTGCTGCCTCTTGCTGAGGGTGTACTCCTGGATGTGGACGGCGGCCTTCTTCTCGACTCGGAGAGGCTCCAGGAGCTCTTGCTCTTGTATGCAGATCTCCGCCAAAGCCGTGGTTGCTCACCCACTGCGGGCCCAAGGTGTGTGGTCCCTGCTCCTGACCACCTTTCCCCTGGGCCCTGCGCTGGCGCCTGGGCTGTGGACCCTGCTCCTGTCTACCTTTTCCCAGCGCCGTTCTGCGACGCCTCGAGGTGCGTGGTCCCTGCTCCTGACCACCTTTCCCTCGAGGCGCCGCGCTGCTGCTTCCAGTTCTGCGTCATGGCGTGCTGCTGGTGGCGCTGGGGCTGCTGCGCGCTGTGGTGCTGCTCCAGCCTGCTGGCGGCGGCCGCCAGCCTGATGAGCAGCCTGTCTTGTCCTCTTTGGGTCCTGGCGCGGCGGTGCCAGGCCCCTTCCTTGGTCCTGGGCGTGGCGGTCGGGGTGACCGCCGCGGCTGCGGCGCCTCTTTGTCTTCTCTTTGATGGCTCCGCGGCGCGCGAGCCACGACCGAAGGGGCGACCGACGAGGGCGAAGCCGCGACGGTCCAAACCACTCCTGGGCCGAATGGCTTTCCTCCCCCTCCTCCTCCTCCTCCTCCTCCTCCTCCTCCTCCTCCTCCTCCTCCTCCTCCTCTTCCTCCTCCTCCTCCTCCTCCTCCTTCCTCCTCCCCAGGGGCCCCGTCGCTGCGGCGTCGCCGCATGGGGCTCTCCTGAGACGCCGAGCCCCCAGGGTGCGCTCCAGTCACGGCGCCGAGCGGCTTGCGCTAGCCGCGGCGAGACGGAGGGCCCTCCTCCTCTTCCTCCTCCACCTCCCCCTCCCTCCTCCCCCCCCTCCTCCTCCTCCTCCTCCTCCTCCTCCTCCTCCTCCTCCTCCTCCTCCCTCCCTCCTCCCTCCTCCTCCTCCTCCTCCTCCTCCTCCTCCTCCTCCTCCTCCTCCTCCTCCTCCTCCTCCTCCTCCCCCTCCCCCTCCCCCTCTCCCTCCTCCTCCTCGTGGTGGAAGCCGGGAGTGAGCGGCCTCCCGCCGCGAGCAGCGTCGGCATTTTGCCGATCGATCGGAGGCCGCCGGGGGCCTTCGTGCTACTGTGAAGTAGATGCGGAGGTCTTCCCGTTCAGGCCAAGACAGGGCGCCCCCGCCGCCATGGGGGGCCGCGCGAAGGCGCCCGCCGCCGCCGCGGAGCTGTGGCGGAGGACGCGCGGGTTTCGCGCTTTGACGCCCAAGCCTGTGCGTTCCTTGAAGCACCCTGCAACCTTTGGATTGCAGGCGCGCCCAGCAATGGCAGCGGCTCGTCATCCGCAGCCCCCTCCAACCAATAACGCCGCGCGCTGTGTGCGTCCTCGTTGTGGGCCTGCCAGACATGGCTTCACTTCGTCATCTCGGCCTCGCGAATGGCCTAGGGCTTGGCCGAGGTGGCTTTGCCCTTGGTCGCGGATGTCTACGCCCGCGCCCGCGATTGCTTCTTCGTCCGATCTTTCGGCATTGCTCCTTGAGGCTTCCTCGAATCGTTGCCGCAGCCGCACTCGAACCTTCGCTTGATCGCAGCGCCAGCCGCGCCGCGCCGCGCCGTGGATGACCGTCCGCACGGCGCCGATACATCACGTCAGCGCCAAGGACCGGCGGCTCCAGCCCCGGCCCACCAGGAAGTAGTTGATTGTCGACTACTCTGACGTCGGGCCTGCCCCTCCGAAATAGTAAAAAGTAGTCTTGGGACGATTTTCGACAAATTTGTTTTGCATGTTTTGAGTATTTGTAATTTTTCCTCCAAACTCCGCCTGCATGGGGGACGCACCCGACCTGGGACTACTCGTCTCCCGCGGTCCTGCGCGTGACCCGAGACAGCGATCAGGCCAGCCCCCAGCCGCGCGACCACCTCGCACCCCGCAGAGTGGGCGATGGCCTTTTTGGCGTCCGTGCTGACGATCCACGGGACTTGAGGGCGTGCAGCTCTCGAGCCAGACCCAGACCCAGACCCCCTCGGGTAATGAAGAAATCATGGCGGGAGGTTTTGCCAAATTTTCAGCCTCTGGGTGCCCTTACCGGGCCTCTGGACCGTCAAACAACGACTCAGGATGAGACACGGGCATTGGGGTATGGGTCGAGACCTCTGGGGGTCGACGTCATGAGCAAATCATGACGCCGGGGGTCTGGGGATGTTGGATCAAATGTGCATTCGCTCGTGTCCACCCCGCGCTCGTGACCGTCTGGACCTGGCCGACAGGCCCTCGCGCGCCCAGGTTTGGGGGGTCGAAATGGGCGCGGATAGGATGGTGACGAAGGACAGCTTGTCAATGTTCCACAGGACGAACGGGGTCCATTCGAGAACAGTCGCCTGCCCAACAGCCGCCGCTGTCGGTTCTGAACAACGTTCGCTGTTTGGCACCGTGCGCACTCCGGACCTGCCAGCCAGGGCTCGACCCACTTCGAGCGCAGGCGGCGGCGAGCCGCCACCAGCGCGCCAGCCGAGACACACTGCCCGTCCGTCCCTGGCACGGAAGGCACCCCATGGGCGATGCTCGCACGCCAGCTTGCGGCCTCCACTGCCGCCGGCGCGCTGCCCTGATCGCGCGCCTCCGCCGCGGCCTCCTGCCCACCAAATGCGATGACCTCGGAGCCGGAGGCGCGCGGGGGGGCCTCCTGGCCAGCCCATGCGTTCCCGTTAGATTGCATGGCGCTCATCGCTTATCTCATCCCTCCGCTTCCGACGCGGGCGACGCTGCTGCGGTGCGGTTCAGGCCACGCCCTGCCCGCGAAGGGCTCTTTTCGGCGGCTGCGCGGGCTTCCGGGCCAGCGACGTGCTTCACAGCGTCCTTGCCCTCCCCCACTTCATTTCTGTTCACCCTGTCGTCCTGCCCGAGAACGCGCGGGGGCCTGTTCTGCCCCTCTTCCCCCGGCATGTCAAACCATCGAGGGCGCCCTTTCCGCCGCGACGCCTTCTTCGAGGGGGGCGACGGCGGGGGCAGCAGCAGGCGGCCCAGCAGCACCAGCAGGAGGGGCCGCGGGAAGGCCCGCGAGGCTCGCAGCCGCGCCAGTTGCGCCAGGCGCGCGACGCGCGCAGGGTGCTCCAGGTGGAATCGGGCCTGTCCCTCTACAGGGGGAAGTTCAAACGTAGTCAAGAATACTCGGGCGCTTTTTTCTGGTATTTTTTGGGGCAGTTTTCGAGTATCTTTTGACAGTTGTACATCTTTCGTCCAAACTCTGACTGCAGGGGGACACGCCCGACCTAACTCCAGGTGCGCCGGCATGCGTGACACGAGCCTTTCACGATCCATTTCAAGAACCATTTCGCAAGTTTGCAGCGGGTTTTCAGCGCGGTGCATGGTGCGATTCAAGCTCGCCCCCGCGGGGTAAGAAGTGCCCGAGGGGTTCCCTTGAGTGCCCGTCTGGCCCCGCCGAGGCCTGGATCCCCGTTCCTTTCCTGCCGCTGCCCTTGCTTCCTCTGCGGGCCAAAGCTTGTCGCGCCCTTGGCCTTGGAGCTGCGCCTCGCCTCGCCGCGCGAGAGGGCAAACGCATTCCGGCGCCGCGCGCCGATCCATATCACAGAGGTAGCAGAGCGAGGTTCGCTGCTTGGCTTTCGGGCTGATCCACGTCCACGACGACGTCTGCGACGCGCCCGCCAGAGTCGATGGCCAGCGCCGTCCGACCACTCTGCTGCGCAGCGCTCTTCCTCATCGGCGCCAACGACGCCCGCTTGCAGCCCAATTCCTTGCTCGAGATCGTCCGCAGCGCCAATTGTTCCGCCAGCGTCGACGACGCCAATGTCCTGCTCCTGCACATTTGCTAGCACAAGTACTTTTCCAACGTCAGTGACGTCGATACCTACCTCAACCAATTATGGGGCAGCGTCTGCGACCAGTCTTGCAAGAGCGTCAGCGACGCCCACTACCAGCCCGCGAGCGCCACCGACGCCAATTCTTTGCTCCCACACACCTACCAGCACAATAAGTTTCCAACGTCAGCGACGCCGGTACCTATCTCAGCAAGGTGAGCGACAGCGTCGGCGAACAGTCTTATAAGAGCGTCAGCGACGCCTTCTTCCAGCCAGATTTGGTCCTCGCGATCGTCAGCGACGCCAACTCCCTGCCCGACAGCGATCATTTCAAATCCTGTTTCATTATAAGGCGACAGAACAACTACCACAATCAGTTGATTATCCAGCCTTGGAATGGAGGTTTTTTTCAGATTGGAGAAATTGCATTTAGGGGTTGAAGCTGCGTAAGCTTAGCAAGAATTTTGAAGTCACACGGAGTCTTGCGTCGAAGCCAAATCTCGAGCTTGCTGGGCCGGCGCATTCGGCAGCGCTTGACATGTCAGGAGAAGACCAGCGCCCGCCAGCAGACGACGACATCGAGAAAGTGCCCCTGCATTTGGAGACACGCGAGGCCAGCAGAAGCCCTCGCAGCAGGGGGAGACGCTGGATGAGTATCTCGATACTACGCAACGTCACCGTCGCAGAGCAGAACGCATGGCAGACAGGCTCGCGCGGTTCGAGCCTGGACTACAGCGCCCCACCCGAAAACGAAGTGGCATTGGCCGCCTTGGACGACGTTGCAGGTTGGCCCCTGCTGCGCAAGGCCGGGCTCGCAGCCAAGCGCAGCGAGCGCGTCGTGGGCAACCGGCCAGGCGAGGGTTGCTCTTTCGGGCGCATTCGTGGCCCGCTCGCGCGCGCGTTCCCAGACGTTCGCGCGTCCGACCGCATTGTCAGCGCGCCTTCGCGGCCGCGGCCGCAACGATCCAACGACAGTTGGCAGTGATCATCCTCAATCCGCGCGCGCTCCACAAATATTGTCGACGACCCCGAGGGGGGCGACGGCGATCGGGGGAGCTGCGACGACGACGCCGCCGAGTCCGACGTCCAGGACATCGCCCGCCAGGAGCTCGAGGCTTCCAGCGCCGATCTGGAGTCGCCCAACATGGGCCTCGGCGAAGGTTCGACGGCGGCGACTCTGCGGGGGCAGGGGCCACCGCGGCGGAGCTCGCCGCGATTCCCGAGGCCGCGGCGACCATCGGGTCGGCCCAGGGGGCCGCCGAGGGCCGCG